ATTAATAATTCAGGAGCAAAACACAAAGAAAAATCATAAGCGTGTCGTGGTTTTATATGTGATAAAAAATCATGTTAATTTACACAAACTTTAGCTTTGATTTTCTCGGTTTAGACAAAGTTTATTTTAAAAATTACTTCGCCAATGAACTCGTATAAGATGAGTCGTTTTTTAAGCCATTAAAAGCACTTGTAGTCGTGTTTTATCACATATAAAACACTCCGCTACGCGTCGTGTTTTATATGTGATAAAACACTCCTACGCGTGCTTTCAATAGTACTTCAAAAACTCATTAATAATTCATGAAGCAATTATCCAATCTTGAGTAAGAAATTAGTCACGTGCATACGTCTTTACCAGCTAAAGAACACTTTAACAAAAGACCATTGTTATGCAAACTATATAAAGATTTTTATATAAAGATTTTTATATAAAAATTTGACTTATTATGCCTTTCCGTCTCTGTTTCACGTTTCGAAAACCGTCATTCCAACCAAACATCCCCAAGCTGAGATAACCATAGGGTATATTTTCCTCCTGGTAGAAAACATCATCATGGTGACCTTGTCTCTAACGATTGAAAAGTCAAACATACCACACATGGATGTGTTGCAACCATTTGCTATTTCGTGCCTTGTAGGAGGATCAATCCTGTCGTTCATCGGTTTTATAATTTTTTGGCTTTGCATGGATTTCAGCAGTTCTCCGCCTGAAACGTCTTACGAGGACGAACCTGATATCGAAATGACACAAAACTGTTGTAGTAATGATAGGACAGGAATGGCAGGACATCGTTCCGAAGCACTTTCCTCTCGAATAACAATATCGCTCAACAAGCCTGTGCTCCTTTACAAGCCTGAAAGGTATTACCCTAATCAGTACGCGGATATTGGCATATGTTATCTTAATTTTCGGCATATGTTACCCAGATATTTCGCATATGAATTACCCTGATATTCGGGCAAACGAATGCGACAGTGGACCATATCGTCAAACAATCACGCAGGACGAGCCTGCGAACCATTCGGCAGAGAACGGGGACTTTGTATCATACATATATGAGACAATCGTGTCTGGTGCAACAAGCGTTTATAATACAGTTAGTCCTTTCCTTAAACTTTACTCCGACCCTAATCCAAACTGCTGACCCTAACACATTAACAGCGAGACATGGACTGCTTGCTCGGTCTTTAAAAGCATTGTTACAAGATGGCAATAATTTATCTACAGTACTTGAAATGTAGTTTCTATTGTATTTTTAATACTTTTGAAAAAACACTCATTGATTATTCATTGGCTAAGTTAAAACTAAGACATAAAGTTCTCCAGCAATTCCTGAATAATTATTTAGTACTTGTTTTTCAGTTAACCAATAAGCGTTGCCGATGTCACTGTTGTGTTATCGCCATTGTTGTTATTGTTGATGTTAATGTGTTTCAATAAAATTGATTATAGAACTAATTGTAGCAATAATACAGTAAGTTTATGAGTTTGTAATTTTTGTAACTGAAAAGCCCCTTCAATGGAGTGTCAATAATCAATAAACAAAAATTGTCCAGTAACGTGAGCATATTTGATCACGTGCAAGGACTTTATACCGTGCAAGGACTGAAGTAATATGTTTCGTATGTAATCTGTGGACTGTGCATGATAGATCTATTAAACTAAACTTTAGTTAGTACCAAACGAGTGCATTCCCTCTCCACTAATCGCAATATCTGATCCAGCATCAAGTATCACAATAGTTCAAATGTCACATAGTTGTACCTCCTGTTTTTAATTACTGCATCTCGAACTCATTAATAATTCATGAGCAAATTAGCGAATGAACTCACCCTAATTCGTCACATGATTGAGGTTGGATACCCCAAGGAAACACGCAAAAAATCATATACCATCACTGTTGTTAGATGAAAAACGGTTTTCATCTAATAACTGAGATCCTAATTACAAATTC